AGGGGAAGGCCAAAAGATTAGATTGTTCTCCTGGAATTTAAAACTCTAACCGTGGGACCCCCACTTTTTTCTTCTGGACCCTCAACCTCAGGTTGAAGGGGTCCAAGGGACTCCCAAAGGAAAAATTGTAGGGAAAACCCTGTATACTGTACAGACAAATCACTGTAATCACAATTTACTTGGAGATACTGGTGGTTGCAAAACAGTCCTACAATTTTTTAACCTGACACTAGCAAAGAGTTTATTCAAACTATGCAGGGAAAAGGTCTGTCATTTAAAAAATGAAGGTTGTTAGATGCAAGAGGAGCTGGCTATTGGCTGCAACTGAGATCATCTTGCAATTTACTAACAATTATTAAGAATTATTCTTATGTTCCTCTTTGTCATATAATTTTATGTAAGCTCAAGTAGTGGCCTAGTTGTTAGAGAGTTAGAGTCCAGATTGAGTGATCTGGGCTTGAGTTCTGGCAGACCATGTCAGCTAAAGGCATTTGTTGTCAAGCGTCAATAGATTCATGTACCATCAATCAACCCATGATCAACATCTCGATTGACATTCCGATAGATACTTGGTCGACACTCGGTTGACATCTTGATTGACACTCAATCGACACCTGATCAACAATTGGTTGATGGTCAGTGATGACCGATTCACATGTGTCGGTCTTAAATTAGTCAACTCTTCACCAATTATCTACCGAGAAGTCAATAAGGCGTCGATCGACTGTACACAAAGGTTTCAATGAAGTGTCGATCAAGTATCGATTGAGGGTATCAATCAAGGGTATTGATCGCCACTTGACCACAGATGCCTTTAGTACACATGATCCACCCTGGCTAGGGTCATTGTGTTGTGTTATTGGGCAAGACACTTTACTCTCGCAGTGCCTCTCTCCATTCAGGTGAACAAAGGGGTACTAGTGAATTTACGGCTGGGGAGGAACGCTGTGAAAAACTGCCATCCCATCCAAGGGGAGAGTAAAAATACTTCTGGCCAATTCATGTTACAGAAACTAGACATCAGTGCCCACCTGATAGGCCACTAGGCTTGAAGGATCATGCAGTATCTTATGTGAAGCCTTGACAACATATCGACTGATATATTGGTCAATATGTCGGTCATTACCCCATCGAAACTCGACTGATATTCAACTGATGCTCGACCGACTAGCAATCAGTGTCACAATCACTCCTCGGTTGATATAACAACCGACATATTGACAGACCAGACAGACAGTTGACCGATACACCACCGGTGGTTGACTGATAATTGACCGATAGTTGACTGATAGTTGACCGGTAGTTGACCAATAAGCTACCGATGATATCAAAGTCAATATATCAGCAGACATTGGTGGACATTCCACCAGTTTATCTTTGGGCTGTTGATCGACTCTTGGTTGATAGCCGACGGATGTATCGGTTGAGTGTTGATCGAGTAATGACCGACATATCAACCGATACATCGGTTGACATGTCAATCCAGGCTCCCCATAAGATACACGATCTGGCTTGAACACAGACTTAACCTACCTAAACAACCACCTGATCCATCCCAATGCAAATTTTAATACTTCAGTAACACCGATTTTCACCGGCTGGCATACACTGCTGATAAAGTTGGCGACTTTCGTAATTCATACCCAACACAATGAGGCAATGTCTTCAAAATGGCAATGAGTAACATATCTAATTTAGATGGCCTGAAGCAAAATGGAAACGTTCACCGCCCTTCAAGATCGATCGTAAATGAATGAAGCTCGATCAAAAGTCAACACCCCGGAAAAGGAAAATCGATTGCACAAAGCTGAAAGAGCCAAGAGGTCAACATCTTAACAGAAGTTGTAATAGGACAAAATCTATACCCTGACGGCTATAACTGCGGTGAAGTAAGTTTTAAAAGCCTCTTACCTTGATGTGGGAAGGAAGATCGCCATTGATGCACATCCCAACTTCTTCGATCCACATCGCAAGCATGAGATTCCCACCCTTGGGAATAATTCTGCACAATCATGTCTGGTTTCTCACTATTCAAAATAAAGCCTTGAAGTTTCAGATTCTGAATGCTGCAGGTGTTTCGTAGAGTCGAGACCCTTTCAACTCCACTCCTACACAAACCCCTATCTCCATAAATTGATGTTAGAAAAATTTCCTGGCACTCGTTTGGTTCCAAGCTTCCTCGTCCACTATACATCACGTGATGAAAATCAAAAGTCCCGCGCTTTTCGTTACCATAGTGACTGTGATAAGAAAATCCAAGATGGTGGACGTGTTTAGTTGACATTTCAGAAAATTCGAAAGGATAGCGTCATATAGTTGTACATATAAAGAAAAACTCTAACACAAAGATGGACAGCAATATACGGAAGCTTGTTCATGCAGCGGCTCAAGATAATGACCTGCCTTCGTTGTCTGAGGCTTACAAAAAGTTGAAGAAGGAAAGGCAATCTTCTGACGACAAACTTGACGCAGTTTCGTCGGACCTTTTTGTTTTGTGCGCCGAGGCAGCGTTAAAGGTATGTCTTTTGCTGTTTTTTATTTGACTCCTGTCTAAGCGATATGCGTTGTGTTTTACCGAAACTCCCATATAGAAGTCTTTAATTTGTATGATAATCGTTCACTGTGTACTGTAATATATGAATTGATTAAGCTTAATTAATCTTTTAAAAAATATTACTAAGGTATTAATTCACCAGTGTTTCATTTGGTGTGTCCCATTCCTGATGTATCACAAAATTTGAGCAATTCAAGATGTTGAATCAGATGTACACACGTGTACTGTACACATGTATGAATGTACTTTTACTGGTACAATTCTGTGAAAAGGTGTATTCTATGGACACCCTATGCATGCAAAAGACCCGCCAAGGATTTCAAAATTCTGTGTCAATGGGCGAAGGTCTTTGAAAACTACATAATTTTATGCTGTACGTGTATTTCAAGTGAGTAAGATAGGAAGAATTGTGAAACCTGAAAATTAAATTTGAAATTAATTAAAGATATTAATGAGATTCTCATTGGGCATCTTAGTCAATATTCTCGAAGATCGTACATGTAGTCACAAATCTTGAGGATCTCTGATAAGGGTCCTAAAAATTCTTGCCAGGATCTTCAAAGATCTTGACCAAGATCAATCAGGATTGTCAAAGATTTTGTCCATGGATCTTGACAGGATCTTTGGAGGATCCTCACAAAGATCTTTGCAAGATCATTTATTTAAGGAGTTTTGCTATACATGTACAGTGGAACCCCGCCTTAAGACCACCCAGTTAATACTACCACCTCGTTATTACGGCCACTTTATTCTGGCCCCCAAAAAAGCTCAGTCAGTCATTATCTTATTTAAAGAACCCCTTTAATACGACCACCCTGTTAATGCAACCAATTTTCCATGGCCCGAAGGTGGTCGTATTAATGGGGTTCCACTGTATCTTTCAAAGATATTTTGAGGAGCCTTGAAAGATCTAGTTTGGTAGGTGGTTAAGAACTTATAAGATCATCGAAGATCCTGTAATGTGTTTCACCAGGGCAGTGCCATCTCACTGTGTGCATTTCATTCTTCATGCATGCAGTGGCTTTATCTTTGGTGGTGTATCTGCTTGATGAATCATAGGCAGAGGTCTGCTGACCATTTGAGTACCGTAACCCTTCATTTCCCCTGTGATGCTTTAAATACTTAAATGCTGGATTATGTGTTATAAAGACATGATCCACGGTTGAGTGTCGATTGATACCATCAATCAACCCTCAATCAACACTTGATTGACATCTCAATGGACACTTGATCGACATCTCAGTTGATACTTGGCTGACACTTGGTCAACACTTAATCAACATCTTGATTGACACTTGATCGACAGTCGGTCGATGGTCAGCTGAGTGTTGACCGACTCAATGTATCGATCAACACTCAATGGCATGTGTGCAAAAATTAGTTGACTTCCGACTGGCTGTCGACTGAGATGTCAATCAAGTATTGATCAAGTATCAACCAATGTGTTGATTGAGTATTGATCAAGTATTGATCGAGGGCTGATCAAGGGGGTTGATTGAAGATATTGATTGATACTCGACGGTGGAGGCCTTTAGTACACATGATCCTAAATGCTTCATGAATATACACGTACAAATTGGATTGTTTCTGAAAATACAACATACTACTGTATTACTTTACAGCATGGTCAATTAGATGTCATGGATGAATGTATCAAGATGTTTTTCCTGAAGACTCCTCCTTCTAACCAGTTTTTATGTCGGGCTTACTTGTGTCAAGCTCAACTTAATGCTCCAACTTCCTCCAAGAATCCAGTAAGTCATGATTTTAAGTTAGAATGATAGTGATTGTAACTACAGTGGATTTCCATTAATTCAGACCAGAAGAGTTAATTGTTGGCAGTATTACCATTAGGCTAGGCCAACTGGCTAACCATTTGCTTGGGTTAAAATGAAGTGGCCATGGTCGTTTGGTAATGATCAGTTGTAGCTAGATACATGTGCAAAATGACAAATTTCATAGGATTGGGAAACATGCTTTCAAAGGCAATGACAGTTGGAGCCTCAGACAGTGTTCAATGATGACTGTTGTATGCAGTTACTGTACATGACAAGAGTAGTGTACACTACAAAATGTTGTAGCGAAGATTTCCACAATAACCAAAACCTGAAGTTTCTGAGATTTGACCATGACCATTCTTTTTCCTACAGGAACAGCTTGATAAAGCAGCGGAATATTTGTTGAAGGCAATTAATTTTGCTAAAAAGAATCCTAGGTAAGGAATGGACTCATTTATTATTACAAGATTGCAACTAAGATCTTAAAAAACAAAAAGCACTCTTCCATTATTATTTTGCTCAGTATTAATTAATTCATACCAGGTACGGTATGTTAAGTTAACTTTTTTACCCTAATTATTTTTGTCAATTAAACAAGGGCATCTAATTAGCTTGCCATATTTTTGCCCTTTTCCATTTCTCCTCTTACTCGTCTACTTTATATTTATCTTTGTAATTTTAGAATGGAATAAAGAAATAAAATGAAAAAAAGAAATGAAAAATGAAAAAACAAAGTTGGTACCACTCACAGTTAATAGTATAGGAGTATGTGGGAGGTTTAAAAAGTTTCATGTATGCTCTATAACCACATGTAAAAAACTGACCAGTTCAATAAGTTGAAAACTTTTTAAGCCCTATTATTAAGCTATAATTAATCTGAACAACGTGATACAATTCATGTATGGTGCATCTAAACTTAATTTTACAAAAAAACAAGAGTACTACAAAATGTTGAGATTGGTACAAAGTGCTTACAAGTGAGTTTAAGAGGTAATCATGGCTAAATGGCTGTGTTGAGAACCAGGGAGGCCAACTGTTACCTGTTTGAATATGTTTAATTATTTTTCAGATACTACTTCCTGGTATACAATGCTTCAGTGCTCTACTGGCAGTTTTGTCGTCCATTCCTGAAGCCCAATTATCGTCAGTATTTGGCTAAAAGCTTGCATCAGGTGGTAAAAGCTCTGGATGATATTGATGACAAAGATTATGGCTGGAGAGCACAACTAATGATGTGAGACATTTTCTTTTATTTGTTTTCCTTCTTCCTTCTTCCCTCCCAACTTTTTCTCTCCCTCTCTCCCTCTCTTCCTTATTTGGTAATTTATAACACTTATTACTAACAGTTGTTTCTTGTAATTGTTTGTTGTATGACCTAACTGTTCAATAGAGTTACATGCATGAAATCATTTGCAGCAGAGATCTGTACAATGTTTATAAGAAGTAAATACACACAGCTCCAGGAGTGTTGTATGTAGTAGTCTTGTGAGTGTGTTTGCTAGTGCCTGATGTTGTTGCTGTTTGTTATGAACATGTTTTAAAACGTCTTATACTTTAAGTAACTGTCAGTATTAGCAAGTTATGTGAGAATTTGCATTGTAAGGAGCAAGTACATGTAGTCATGTTGTATTGTAAGTAGTGTAAGTAGTCTTCATTGTGTGAAGTGTTTTTTTGTGTGCATGGTGCAAATAACAAAAATGTGCCCGTATTTTCTTAATAGTGCACTTATTGAGTGTCATGTAGATGCAGGGCGCAAAGAAGATGCCACACAAATCAGTATTGCCACCTTGGCTTTCACCAAGAGTAATGTTCCCTCATTATATACAACTGTCCTTGGACTGCAGGTGAGGTCTGAAGCTCTTTTACGTCAAAAGTTCTGTTCATTTAGAAAATTTCAGTGCATATGCTGTACCATACTGTGCCTGAGAGGTCAGTTGGTTTCAATTGATTCTTTCTCTCAAATGTTTGCAATACAGTGTACATTGGGCTTTAAATTAAGTGCAGATGGATCGCATATCCATGTCTGACTATAACTCAGATCGTTCCTACAGAGAGAGGGCTCTAGAAATGGCCTTTGATACACCAATCTGAATGTTCAAGGACCATCTCACACTAATGGCAATTTAACCAGTACCAGAAGATATGCTTCTGCCAGTACTGACAGCCTCTCCTCAAATACTAGATCATTAGTTTGCACATAAAATTAACAGATAACATAAACCACACAGTCATACTGTGCTCTTATACTTGTACACTTAGAATCTTGCCCATTATTGCCAACAGTTAGCCATGGTGACTAAACAAAGTTGATTAGTGAGAAGTTAACATTGATGATGATTATGAAGTTCAATTTTCAGAAATCAGCTCAGTCCACAAGTTCATAGAGCTCTATGAGTAAGGGCATTGAAAGTAGGTGACTTGTTGTTTTTGGTTTAAATTCCATTTCCACTGGCAGGTTCGTCATCGACTGATTGATCTGTCCAAAGCGTCAAAAGAGGCCAGAGCTTCAAATGAGCTGTACATGTTCTACAAGATTCAGAGACTAAGAACGTGAGTTGTAGTGGTTCTTTTCAGGGAAACTAGACACAATGACATGTAGATTAAGAATTTTGTAAGTTTTGAACTACTGCCTATGTGATTATGTCACTTACAGGTAATATAGAGAGGTTTTAAAATGTAGGCTAATAGTCTTAAATCAACTATTTTCATTCATTCACAATGATCTTTCTGCTTTCGTGTTGTCATTTTTGTTGGGGTAAATTCAAAACAATGTCATTAAAGAGCAAGTTTTGGTGAACTTAAGTTCAAACTTTTGGTATCACAACAAGTACTTATTAAAAGTGTTTTCTGTCAACAGCTTGATTGAAGCAGATGAAAAAGTTGACATAGAACAGGAGCTGAATAAAATCTACAAATCAATAGTAAAAGGTGTGGATGCCACAGACCGTGCCAGCACAGCCATGTCTACCAGCACCAGCACCAGCACCAGCAAGGCCAGCTCTCCTTATGTTGTTGGTAGCAATGACAGGTGAAATCAATACAGGATAAAACATGAGATTGTTAAAAACAATCAATTATAAAAAAATTGATTCCAAAGAAATCAAACTGACTTTGACGGTAGACACAATCATTGAAGTACAAAATGTATCATGTATGACATGTGCATAGTATAATCAGAATTCAGTTGATACAGTCAAACCTCTCCATAATGGTCACTTTTGGGATGGAGGAAAGTGGCCATTAAATGTGGGTATCAAAGTTTTGGTCAGGTCATAAATAGGGTAGGGAAAATCACAGATTTTGGTCTTAAATAGGATAATGGTTTTGGGAAACAGGCCCCACACCCCCAGGGGGTACTCCCTTTTAAGGACTATGTAGGTATGTGTGGCCCCAAAGGGTATAGTTTTTGAGCCGTTTTGGTCATAAATAGGGTATTGATTTGGCCATTTTGGTCTTAAATATGGTATGGTTTTTGTACTCTAGTCTTGAATTGGGTATATTTTTTTGAAGAAGTTACTTTTTCATAGTTATTGATAAGACCATAGACAAAAGCCCTTCAAAAATTATGTCAGCTGCAACCCCAATTTTTGGTTTGGTCGTAAATAGCGTAGGGAAAATCAAAGATTTTGGTCATAAATAGAGTAAGGGTTTTGGGAAGTGGGCCGCACACCTGCACGAAGTTTTTCTGGGAGCACCCTGGGCCCACACCCCACCCAATTTTTCTGGGGATCCCTCTGCAGAAATTGAAGATACTGGTGTAAATGAGTTTAATTTCTATAAATAAGAAATTATATTTACTATTCATTAACAGGCCCAAACTTGGGGAAAGTTGTTATCTGCTCATTTTAATTTGTTTCACTGTTTATACTGCAGGATACCACTGCTCATTGAGTTGGCCAGACTTTGCTTGGAGCAGAGTAAACACGATTTGGCTGCTGACTGTCTTGAAAATGTCAAGGGAGGAGTTAAGGTAACTTTATTATATGGAAAGTGATTTCCAGGGGTCATTGTAGCAGATGCCTTGAATACTAAGATCAGCAAAGGGCCTTAAAATGAATACAAAAGACTAGTGGTTAATAACTATTGCAGAAAAAAATGTATTATAAAGGATCACAAACAATAAAAGACGTCTATTTCTATACCAAAAATGATAAGATCACAGAATATTTGAATCTGTGTTTTTACTACCTAGTTTCTGACCACATTTTGTGATCTGTGTAGTTTTTGTAACTAGAGCACTACATTATTATTGGTTTTAGAAAAAAAGCCATTAATTGCACCCTTTTTCTCCATGCACTTCTTACAATTGTGTAACAGAATTCTGAGACATTGTTGGAAATTGAGTTCATGAAGTGTGAGTTGATGGTCCAGTCCCTTGGAGAAAAGAAAGAAAATTACAGCAAGTCTGTTGTAGAGGTAAGCACCTGATGTACTTACTACGTGTATTTTTCAGTATTATTTGCCAGTGAAAAGTTTTATTGTCATCATCTTGTGGTCAAAGTATTGAGTCAAGTACATGTACCAGCAGGTTAAAAAATTCATTTAATGGTAGTGATCAATGCCAAGCATAATTTTATATCTCAATGTGTTTTTGTTCTTCAGAGACGCATCCAAGCAATTAGAAAACTTGAGCAGTACATAATGACAGCTGTTAGAATGGGAAATCCAAATGTTATCCAGGTTTGCTCTCTTTTCTTCAAAGTAATCTACAATCTACCTGTCCTTAATATTTAACAAAATTTGTTAGATTATGAGCTCAAGATTTCTATTGGGCAGCCTTCATCAATTCTCACACACAGATATTGAGAGCAAATAATCTAATTTTTTTAGTATAAAACTGCTAGTCACTCAAAGCTTTATCTAAATCCTCTTGGCAGACACTTGAAATAAGCAAAGAAGTGGCCACTGTTTTGTTAAAAACTGGACACTGCTAGGCTACTCACAGATGGGAGAGCAAGTATAGTAGCCAATGAGAGAGTGACATTGGTGATTGAATGCCAGCAGATTTATACCAACATTTGTTAGAATAATTGATTATCGAGCAAGTGTTTCCAGATGACCAAAAAACCTTTTTAGTATGACCACCAAGCAGCCAGATGATGTGACCTTATAAGCTTACCCATTTCCACTGTAAATAAGAAATTTTTGGTTTGCAGGCAGGATGTGTGACAATGTGGAATCTTGCTCTACCTCTGCTGCAGTCAAACTTAAGACACCATGTACGTAAACCACTGACTCTTGCTGCACAAGCCTTGGAGGACATTGACAGGTAAATCCAGTTGATTAAGCATTGTCTGGAGATACCTACACTTTTCTATTGCTGGATACAAAAGCTATTGCTGTCATTGTTCAAAACTGCATAGAGCTTAGCAGGCAAAATTTTCCAATTTTGATGTGGGAGGTTCAGTCTGTAGCCTAATGTGTAGTGTAAATTGTACTCCAGATTGAGTAGTCTGAGTTCAAGTACCAGGTAAGATATATGTAGTTGTGATTTATTCTTGGTCAAGACATTGAAGACACTCACATGGTACCTCCTAAGTCCTTCCACCTAGATTTATAGTGGGTAAAATGCAGCGGCAAATTGTTGCAAAGTCCCAAACCTAACCAAAATGTGGGGGGCTTCTTGTGATGGATGGACCATATCCCATTGAGGAAGGTAGCAATAACCCAGTTGTTTCAAGCTATGAAAGCTAGGGTTATTATTTTTTTTTTATAAGCACTGCAGTAAGGGAAGTCACAGTCCTTAAACTCACTTCTTTTTCTTTCATAGCCTGTTAGTTTTGCTACGTTGCCAAATGCATGCAGAATTAGCCAAGTGTGAAGAGGCTGAGGATCAGCTGGAGTATGCTGTCACACATCTTAGAAAGGCACTTGAGATGGATGATTCAGGACAGTATGGTGACAGACTGCAGACAGCCCTTACTAGGCTTCAACTGAGGGCAACACTGTATAAGACTCCAGAAAGACCAGAGGATTTGGCTGCCATGATTATTGAACAGGTAACTTATTAAATAACTGGTCAGAGTGAGATTCAGACTAAGGTATCAGTAGGACTTACTCTTATGTGTTATTTGGCAAGATTTTACAATTGCTGAAGTTGGGTACTGTTTGGCTGCCTTGCCCCTTGCCTCTGTTTTAAATCCAAAATTGTGGATGTCCAGGAAAGTGTTGCAAGAAATTTGAAGTTTATTTAACAAATTGACATCAGTTTTTTGTGTGTCTGTCCTGCTATTGACAATGAATTTCATCATAACATTGTCAAAGTAGTTGTGGATCCTCTGGGTGATTTGTGGATAGCCGAGTAGATTCACAACTACTTTGACAATGTTATGACAAAATTCATGATCAATAACTGGACAGATGCATGAAAAACTGACATCAATTCGTTTTTTACAATAACAAGCTGTCAAATTGTCTGCTCTCACTTGTTCATAGATAATATAAATTAATGTGTCTGTCTGCTTATTGACAATGAAAGTTAGCCAGTGAGCATGTGAGAATTTCTGCTGTTATCTTTAGATAAAAACATTCTTTCAGGTAGCTTGAGACTTCTAAGAATGTGCTCTGCGCTTCGCTACCTGATTTGTGTTGGCTTCCCTGGTTTTGTAACTGTATTATGTTGGTAAGAAAATAGAAGAATAATAATTATCAGTGTTAAGTGAATAAAATATTTTATATCTTTCAGGCAAGAGCCAGTGATGACTCCAGTACAGTTCGTATGAAGCGAGCTTCATTAGTGAAGGCAGGCGAGGCTCTGTCACCTGATGCCTTTATGCTTGTTCTTGACGGTGAAAGTAATACCAAGGATCCATCCACTGGTAAAGGTCCACCTACTTCGTTAGGAAGACTGGCTGGCAGGGCAAAGCAGTTTGAGAAAGGAGTCAGCAAGGCAGCTGGTCATTTGAAGAGGCTGGGAGATGAAAATGACCAGGAAAGGTTAGTGTAAGCGTTGTTAGGGTTGTTGTAGCTTCACTGTCATTAAATTTTGTGATTATGATGCATTTGTTGAAATCAGTTAGGGATTCTTCGGTAGTAATTTTCATGAATGATATACTCTTCTTGTCCATTATGAAAAAAAAATGTTACTGCAGTTCTGTGTCTCAGTCAAGTGCTGTCAAACAAAGGGCTAGAAAAAGGTAAATTACAAGTCAGCAGAATTGACTTGATGAAACAAGATTGGTTTAGGCTAAAAGAATGACTAATTTAGCAGTTTAGGTTTCTAAGAAGTAACAGTTCCTTATGTTCCTTTAGAGTTCGCATTTGGGCAGATCTGGCCAAAACTGCTCGTAAACAACAGGTCTGGGATGTGGCACGAGTTGCTGCCAGGTTCTGCCTTCTTTATGATGATAATCGGTGGTCAAAGAAAAATCCTAGTAGCACGTCAGAAAAAAATGGTGATGGTAATGCAGAAAAAGATGAGCCAACAGGGATCAAGTCACCAGTTCCTGCTGAATCAGGCAGCAAGCTGGATGTAACAGGGATGAAACTGTTGTATCCTGAAGGGATGACACCATTTACTGTGGAAAAGGATTTGTTAAGGATACTGGCTGAAGTTCGCTTCATATTTGCTGAGGTATAACAAGCTTTTACAACAATCAATAAATTGGCTTCTGCCAGGTTTTTTTCAAAGAAAGTACATCGTAGTCAACCAAAGAAACCTCACACTTGTTTTGTGTTTTTTAGAAATTTCATGATGAAATTATGCTGGTAATCAGTGCAGGTTTTTTTTTTATGAAGCATTAAAAAAAAAATTTGCATTTTGCATTTTGGCTTTTAATGCCCTTGATGATCATCTGTGCAGCAGATTTATGTTGTGTCAGACATGTTGTGTTCGCACTTCGTGTGTCAAAACGTGATTTAGTCAACAGTCATTTACTTCAAATTTCAGTTATTACTGTACTCTCGAAGTACGTTTCTAAACAGATTCTTTGAATGGTGATTATACTGTGATTCTTCATTGTTGGTTATGGCCATGGTTTTCATTTAACAGGCTTTGGTCCAGTTATTAAGGACAGAAGGGGTACAGCTGGGAGACAGACCTGTCCCACCTGAGGATACCATCAAATTGCGCCCCAAAAGATATGGTGATCAGCCTGTCAATTTTGACGATATGCCAGAGTGGGTCTCTTATTGGTAAGAGATATCTTGTAGGCTGTCGTATTTAGTTCTGTTACCATACAGGTTGTTGTAAACTTGTATCAAGATTGGTGACATAATTTTTCTTTCTGTTTTGCTAGTGACTGGATCTCATCACTGTCAAATGAAGTTATTCACAGCTTCCAGCGTGCAGCTGAATTTGGAGTGGAACTGAAAGAGCCATGGCTTGTGTGCAATGCTGCTGTGTATTTGTGGAACTATACCACCCACATGCTGTCACAAGGACGACACAAGGCAGTTATTCCCATTTTCTCTCCTGTGTTAGAGGCTATGAAGCTTACAGGTCATGAAGGGTAAGCTACTTGTGACTGCTAGGTGTTGATGATGGATCATGATATATTTTGTTACCTTATAATTGCACAGTTTGCATTAACTAACTCCCTCATTTGGTAAGCTCGTTAACCTAGAGCTGAATTTACTAGCTGCAATTGTCCTTGAGTGAATACTAAGATTAAGGATGTTGAAAAAACTAATTGCAAAAGTCTTTGGTGGCAGTAGAAAAATTGGTAACCAGTCCACATGGTGTTCTAAGCCTTAAAACTGTTTCTATTTGGAAACTTTGGGATCAAGTACACGTTTTGCATCGGTGTTGTAAATGGATACTTCTGTCAGTGTGGAGTTATGATGAGTCCATGCCAAATCTTGGTATCTCATAATTCAACAGAATTTGTGTTTATCTTTCTTTCAAAACAGTGAAACAGTTCTATTGTGCCAGATGTGTAATGCCATTGCCCAAGGATACATGAAGCCATGGATTCCAGCTCTTCCCCCTCCTACTGCACCAGCCACACCCAGCAAGGACAGGGGTGAAAAGACTGAGAAAGCAAAGGGACGGCAGAGTGGGAAAGGAGCAAAGGGAGTTCCATCAAAAGGCTCGCTACAGACAGTTACTGTAGATCCTGAAGCTACACCAGATTTGAAGCAAGCTTTGGATGTAAGAGTGGTTCTCATGTGAAAGTATCATTTAAAGCTCCATAAGGCCTCTGTGTAATAGACGTGTTTTTGCTATCGGTGCATGGACAATTTACCTTGTGCCTCGGTTTCAAAACGAGTCCTTGTACAAAAATAGTTTTGATTTGCATAGAAATGAACCTGTAGAGATAACACTTGTCCATAAGAATGGTTTTGCACAAAGACTCGTTTTTACACAGAGGCAAAAGGGAACTCTGAAATGGCTTATTATCTCCACCTCAGAAGATTTTAATAAACTTTATTGGGAATGTGTATGTACAAATGTATCTAAAGTAGTAAAAAACAAAAAACAAAAACAAAAAGAAAGAAAAGAGATCATTTCCCAAAAGGGAAGGCGCAAAAGAGACAATTGAACCCATGCGAGGCGCTTCTGAGAATGATGTTTACAGCCAATTTCGAGTCTCTTCGAATATCGAGGGATTCCCAGTGTTTGAAGCAAAATGAGAGAGTGACAAGGAATCAGTGACACAATCAATAGAGGAGAAAAACAATTCTAGAATACTACGTTGAGGTCCAGTATCTAATAATCTTAATACCAAGTTTGGCTTTAAATAATCTTTTATTATTGCAGGTGATAGAATATGCACTAAACACAACAAATGGTCAAGAGCCAAAGAATCTAGTGCCAATAAGCACTCGCCACCCTCTAATCACCTCATGGGTGTTCTGTAAACAGCTGTTGAATCAGCAGATGCCAAAGAATCTTGGTCATGATGACGAGGTCAGCTGTCGTTATTGTCTACGATGAACAGTGTCAATTTTGTATCTAATCAGTCAATCCAAGTTTTATTTTAAATGTTCTGTTGAATTTATGTTTCAGAATCTCCATAGTCAAGGTCCCATGTGCCGTGCTTTGTGTGCTGTTGAAATGCTATCACTGCAGAACAATGGCTTACCGGAGTTTACTGGAACATGTCCCACACTTCCCGAGGTGAGTCTCTTTGAATATCACGGGATTCCCAGGGTTTGCAGCAACATGAGAGTTCAAATCTAGAATACTACGTCGAGGAGAAAAGGAGAGGATTGACCCTTTTTCTATGACAACAACAAATGGAGCATTGACAGCTTCGTCAGTAAGCAATTAAAAAGGCTATGAAAGGTAACACTGTAGTGCCATTTATCTCTTTTGTCAGACCTCTCCCCTCTATAGTGACTGGTATTTTGAAGACAACGAGCTAAAGCTTAGGCAAAGATGGGTTCTATTACATTTACTTAGTTGCAATGCGGTGACATACACACTGAAACATAATTGAATAACCTTTGTGTTTGTGGCCGTTTTACAGACTGTGAAGTTGGTAGATGGATGCCAATGGAGTGACAACTTGGTGGAGTTACAGATGTGGAGCAGACTGTCCGTGCTGGCTTTTAACGCCGAGAATCATTCACTAGTACTGCACTGTGGTCAGAGGGCTGTAGTCTTTGCTCAGAGTGATAAGTGCCTGGCTAAACGACAACCTAAGAAGCCGGACAGGTAAGCTGAATCGATTTAACAGTACTAAAAGCGTGTTTTTCTTTGTAATAAATGTTCACGATTGTTCAATTGAATTTTAGCATTTTCAAGCACAAACTCGTGGTAGAACAAGAGATGCTTTATTACGCTAGTGTTGTTATGGGCCAAAGTCTGATGAAGAACATGCAGGGCAAGAATGAGATCAGGAGAGATGCACTTGTCTGTTTTGTCAATGCTTGCAGGTAACATGAACCGGTTGTCCTATCGTGTAAGTGCTTTCTGTACTGAGTTTTTATCCAGTAAACGCTTCATTATTTTGATAAAAACAGATACTTTAGTCAAGGAGAAGTGTATGGTGTGGCATCCAGTTACTTGCCACGCTAGAAACATTTTGATTGGTTTATTAGGGTACTATTAATGTCAGTAGCTCAACATTGGTTGGTTAGACAAAAATAAATAGCTGGTACTCTGAATTTTTTCAACTGTGACGACTCTGTGAAAATTTCACATATGAACCACTTGTTATTTGGCAAATAGATGTAAAATGTAAATGTGTTTACACCTGATCCCCTTCACGTGTTAAGACGGAATCCACCACTGTTTTAAATATCTTCTCAAAAAAAAAAAAATCATTTCTAGCAACACCAAACGTCAAAAACGAATGTTGAACTTCATATGAAACACTTGAAAGTACTGGTGAAATGAAACTGATGATGAAATTTTGCCTGTGTTTGCACAAGTTCTCTGAACTTTGAAATTCATTTTCTCTCGTTCCCATGGGAAATTGTTTTCGGTGTTCTTTCAGGCAATTATTGATGTATTTACCTTTAAGAAAATGTAAAAATGACTGTAAAATACTTAAAATTATTCTGGCACCAGATTTTTATCCACTAAAACCTCACTTAGTCCCAGCGAAACCAAAATTCATATATTAATCTCTTCCTCAATAATACGGACACCTCCATACAAAAGAAACTTTGTTTTTTTCCGTTAGGTTTCCATACTGTCTTTCTAAAGGTGTATGAACCTTCTATAGTGGAGCTAACTAGCATTCCATGTTCTGTTCAGTTGTTGATACCGTGACCGCACCGCCGCAATCCCTGAATGCCCTTGTCTAGACTCACAGTACTAAACACTGAACGAGTTTGTTGTCCTTCTGATGCAAAATGTCTCTTTATCACGTTTTAAGATTCGGACAGAAAGCAGGGAATTATGACTTGGTGATCGCAGCTGCTCGTCATTACTGGAATGCTATCAAGCCATTTATTGTAGAGCCAATTGAGCGAGAGTTGCTCAGGGAACCAATGGAAGCTGTGTTGGAGTGTATTGCTGCAGTAGCGGATAATGAAGTAGACAAGGAAGATGAGGTAAGACACGTTATCAATAGGCCATATTCGTATTCCAGGAATTGAACTGGAACTAGCTTGCAATAGAGGCTTATGCGGGGGAATATCTTTAAAAAGAGATGAGCGTCATTTGCATTTGAAAAGACTGCCCACATTAGCCTCGGTTGCAAGCTAGTTCCAGTCCAACACCGACAATACGAATATGGTCTGTTGGGTGTTGGTTGGTCAAGATGAATCCTTTTGTCATAGTGTTGCCTTCTTTTATTGACTGCTCATTCTTGCTATGATGAACAGGGAGGCTGTCCCTGCCCCTGCTCCTGCTCCTATAACATGTAGTATGAATCTCTTGTGGCCGGCTCTCTTTAATAATTTAGGCATCAGTTAAATATGTCATTTTGGTCATCCCTTTAGGATGACGACGAGGATACAGAATCATCTCCAGAGAAGAAAGTATCTAAGAAACCTGTAAGTAGCAAGAGTGATAAAGATAAGAAAGCCAAAGACAAAGCAGGGGACAAGAAGAAAGACAAAGAAAAAGAGAAGGAGAAAAGCAAACCAGGTATTTCGAGTCCAAGATAACTTTTAAGACTTTGCTTACAGTAGCAAACAACTTAAAATGCACTATTTTGAACCGGTGATGAATGACCACCTATTCCTAAGGCCAAACGTTCTGCTCGAGGTGGAAAGGTAACATGAACTCCATCAAGTTAATCAACTTTATTTTCGTAACCGGGCATTAACCGCAGAGTCTAAGTGCAAGTTCGTTCTTGAGGGCCTTGTTCAAGACAGTTCATGAATTCAATTCTGAACTAATAACACGAATTAGAGTGGTTTTCAGTTGAGTGTCGTAAAACAAAACCAAACCAATTACTTACCAATTACACTACTCAGCCAACCTCAAACCGTAGTAAAACCGACACCAAAACCAAAGTAATTGCCTGATTACTTTCGACACTCAACTGAAAACCGCTCCGATGCATCTTTGGCTCCAGCTTGTTTGTCTCCAAATCAGTAAAAAATAATTCATGTAAACCTTATTTTGCTTTTCAAGATTTGAGAGGGTTTGTGGTCAAATGAGTAGATCGTTAGACTCTGGAGTTGCAGTCCTGCTGGGACCATTGGTATTTCCTTGAGTAAGACACTTTACTCTCACGTTGCTTTTCTCCACCTTGGAGTATAATTGACTACCAGTAAATTGTTAGAGTAAACTGACAAATTACTTGAGGAGATGAAACCTGCTATGGCGTAAGCATCTCCTTCAGGACGAACAGCAAAATCATGTTGCAATAACCTGGATCAAAGTACCCACGCTGATAGGTTATCTGGCTCCTCTGTTTTACAGGAGACAAAACTGGAGGTAAAGGAGGCAAGACCGAGAAGCAGGACTCAAAAGATAGTAAGGTGGGCGATGACAAAGGTAAAACAGGAAAGCCAGGGGCTGAACAAGAAGACAAACCTCCACCATTACCTAGTGCGTATGACGAGGATCTGATGCTACGTGCCGCCATGTATGGAGTGTTATTTCAGGCTTACGCTGATAAGGCAAGTTATTACCTTAACAAATGCAATGAACGTACGATACTTCTTAACGCAGTTGCTCCTTACTTGTAATTTGAGTAGTATGTGAGCACTACAATATTTTAGAAGGTGTTTTAAAGATGTCTACTTTGTATATATTGCTACAAGAATTAGGCTGCTTTGCCTAAAGAACATAAATTATTTTATACTTTGTATTTTATTCGGCTTTTGTGCCTTAACTGCCTTAAGGCGCATACAACGTTTGAGTGGGATACAGCTAATTGCATTTTATAGATGATGATGGTGATGAGGGGTTACACTTTTTACCATAAGTAAAGAAGTAAACACGGAATTGTTTACTTTTCAGGGTGAATGGGAGCAAGGATTACGTGCTATGGACCAGGCTGTCAAGGACATGCCGAGGACATATCACAGATTGTAAGTTTGTAGGCAAAACGTTACTGGACGCCTTTGTGAATATAAAACAGTTCGGTCAAAATACTGTCGCAAGTACTTTTCACCCTAAAAGTTTTTGAAAAACTCTGTTAGGGGAAAATGTACTTGCGACACGTCAGCCTTGATTTCAAACTAACTAGACTACGTGACTCATGTCGTACTTTATGGTCGATGATGAAACGATACCATTCCCCGCTCAAACATGCTATGTTTCAGATTGGATTAGAGAAGGGAACAGATTAAAAAGGTTTTTGGGGGCGAATCAGAATTGTCGGAACTGTGCTGGCTATCAATCTCAATGTCAGGTTATTGAGAAGTTAACATTTCTCTAATCTTCTTTAGGCTGATATTCAAACATCGTGTCATAACTAAAGCCAAGCTTGGACGAAATGTTGTATTTGATATGGGCAAGTTCAAGGTAAAAACTGTTTGTCTTAATTTCTTTGGTAGTTTACTTTAAATCAATGTTCTTAATCCTTAAACTAACAAATGGTATTGGCTCGAATTAGCGCCTTGAGGCTTTACTAATATTTTAAATTCAAACTGCTAGTCAGCCCTTCTGAGGAAAACATAAGTTGAAGAGTAAAGTAAACATGGCAGTGATTTCTATAAATACAAGGAATGAGACACTTAAGCAGAGTTTCAGCCATACCTTTATCGTACACTGTCGGTAGCACTTTTCCAGCACTGTTCTCGGTTCTTCTTTGAACGTTTAGCAGTGGTTTGGGTGGTGGACGGGGTAATTGGGAGAGGGGAGGTGTTTGTGTGAGAGAGTACGCTCATTCTAAATTTCACGTTCAAAGAGGGCGCGAAACTGGGGGAGGGCCCTCATCAGGATATACTTAAATGGGCCTTCCAAAATTAAGGCTATTGCGTAAAACTTTTGGACGGAGCATCTTTTTTAAAGGAGGTTGGGGGTTGGGCAATTTTCTGGGACATGACATTTTTTCTCACCTTAAGATTATGCATGCTTTTTTAGTGGGCAAAAGTTTGTCAATGTGTAAGAAATTTGTTTAAAGTCAAACTCAGGACCTGGATAGTGGAGAACACTTGCTGTATTTTTTCCCCATCGCTCCCCTTGTAAGATTGTTTTTTCAACAGTTTTTGCTGTGCAGGAATTTGTTTTTGGAAATTGCCCACTTTAGTAATGATCGTGATGTTGCTGTTGCTTTCAGAATGAGAAAGAGGATGTTATCGCCGCCATGTGGCGTCATGTGGCACTCAATTCCAAAGCTGCAGGGGATCAGTTAGCTGCTTATCAGAATGCAATTGAAGCTCTTGAGGTATGTTTATGTTAAGCCAATACAGTAAAAAACCCGCGTGTAAGAACCTTTATTTTTTAATGCCTGACAAAATAGGTTCTTTTTAAAATTTGGATGAAGTGGATATAATTGTTGATGACCACAAAAATAAATAAACCTGGGTGTGGTCCTTCAATATATGGTATTTATTCACAACTCTATTATGATAAGCCTAACACAATTGATTACATAATGCATATATTTGGTGTTGTCTCTATATTGTCGATGCGGTATTTTCTTGTAATATAAATTGGCAATCTCAAAGCCACACTCCTTGGTTAAAATGTTTGTCACAATTTATCTGTAACCCACATACAAGAACCTGCTTGTTGTTGCTTGGCTAAACAGGTTCTTATATTTTTGGGTATTAAATGGCAAATTTCTCCCAGCAGGTTCTTAAACCAGTAGGTTCTTACACGCAGGTTTTCACTATATTATAACCATGGCACGCTACGATTATACCATCTCTATTCAAAATAATCTGTTAAAAGACGGGTCTCTTAAGGCCTTGAATTCTTCCCCTTCCATATGTTTATGAGGTTCCAGTGTCAGGTAATAATTGCGTTGTGTTTTTCCCTTGTTATAGAATCCAGAGAGCGACTGGCAAAAGGTAGACTACCTCATGGAGTTTGGAGAATGGCTGTTTGTTAATGAGTATCCAGTGGCTGACGCGTTGGATCAGGTAGCCTCTCTTTACAAGCCACTGTTTCTTTGTATTTGCTGATATGTTGGTTACCTTCTTTGACAAATATTCAATTTTGTTTTCCAGTTTCTCTGGGCATCTGACATTCTGCTCAACAAGGACCCACACAAAGATGGCAAACAAGGTAGAGTTACAGCGTAAACTCACTCCATATAAAATGTTAACTGTCTTAAATTGTTCCGTATCTCGAACTGAGTGAAAAAGAGTTTCTCAATTAAATTACGCCGGTCACGTTTCTGCTGTTTTATCCGAGAGTTTTTTTACTCTATCGCCCTCTAACTGAGTCCTCGAGAACACTAGTTTCTTTACAATTTTATCTTTCCTACAGTTTTGTTTAGCAAAAGATCAGAATACGTAAGCATGACCAAGTTACGAAGTTTGTTGAATTCCAAGCTTCCTCTCTTGTTCTACAACTGGGCGAGATTTTCTGCCATTGAGATTACAACTAGGAGGGTTAATAACGTAGCGCGCTCTTAAATGAGAGTTTATGGCAAACTGTAGAATGTTCTCTGTAATTTCTAATACAGTAGAAACCCACATATAAGAACCTAGATTCGTCCAACTTGGCCTAAATAGGTTCTTATAGAAATGGTATAAAGTGGGATTTTAGGCTACTTAGGTTCTTTTAAAAATAGTTCCTTAATTTGATAGGGGCACTAGCGATCAGCACAGATAACTACTAATACAATTGCATTGTGTAATCCAGTATTGACAAAGACATGATATGGTTTTCATTTTAGTTCATTCTTTGAATCTTACTGACTGAAACCTAGACTAAATTTTTTTCTGAATTTTGATCTGTGCCTTCATTTTTGTTAAATAAGAACCGATTGAAAATTTTAGGCTAAATAGGTTCCTATGAAAAAGGGGTTTAAAATGAAAATTCTAGCCTAACAGGTTCTTATACGCGGGTTCTTACTGTACGCATTTTGCTGTGAACATTCCAGGTGACAACAATGACGCAAGAAGTGAAAGCGAGAGCGAGGTAGATGCATCTAAGTTTGTGCCAGAGGAACACCGCTCGGTAATAGGCCTACGTCCTTCAGATGTCAACGTTAACCTAGAGGACATCACCGACATCCGACAGCTGGAGACTCTGATGCGTGTTCATGTGATGCTGGCTCAGGTGGCTGGTCACTCGTCTCCACACTCCACGGACTATGTGCTGTTGGCGTATGCTTTCCTTTATAGGATATGGCAGGTGAGAAATGCACTTGGCTAGTAGAATCTTCCGTTTATGAATGAAACGTAAATGTGCAAGGGAAATGATCTTTTTTTTTTTAGTCCAGAAAACTTTGTCATCTTTAGTCTCGAAAAAGTGAAAAGTAAATTTCTAAACGCTAAGGAAGCGTGGCTTAATGTCTCAAAGATGAGACATTTGAGTTCAAGAAAGTGGTGCATATTTTGTGGTGCATATTTTGTGGGGCAAGAGTTTTCATTACGTTTTGTTGAAACTCTTGCTTCTCCCACACTCCCTCTCTCAAATTTGTGTGCGAATCAATATGCATGATTATCTGCAATCTTACTGTTTACAGTGATTGGGTCATGTGGGTGTTTCTCATGTAGGTATCAATCTCCTCTGCTGAACGCATACAAAAGGAAGGAGGGAAGCCTGGGGAGAGGGCCCCATCGAAGAAAGGCAAAGAGAAAGGCAAGGAAGCTAAGGAGGTTAGTATTACCACTGTTAAAATGAACTTCTTCTTTCGAAGTGTAAATCCACGAACAATAAGAAGGAATTATGAATCTTGAGCCGCAAACGAAGCTCTACACAAACGTATGAAAGACACGAATGTTGACGCTCACTGTTTTTACTTTTAGTCTCAAACAAAAGTGGAAAAATCAAGTGGGAAGACGTTATTTCCAAGCACAATGGAAGGATGGGCCACTTTTGAACTTTCAGAGAAGGTAAAATTGCAACATTTAAATTGCTTGGATTGTCATTTTACTAATCAAAAAATTCTCAGAAAGTTGCATCCCTCTAGCGCCTGCCTTTATGAACTTCATCTGTATCAATAATCGTATTTACAGAATGTGAAATGTTTGTTGTTCGTCACATATTTCCTTATTTCACTCTCAGCTTCAGGAGTACTTCAAGTGTGACATCACCGGAACAATGATAAACAAAGCGACCTTCCAGAAGCCGGTCAGTATACTGGTGACAGAAATGTAGGTTATTGAGTAGACGTGTTCATGGACCGAGACGGAGTCGAGGTCCATGAAAAAAAAGAGCGAGGCCAATATCCAGCCATCTTGACCAAACAAGCTGGGTCAAAAGAGGATTTATTATACGGAAAAAGAACACTTTTCTTGCGGGACACAGCGGGTAATCCCGATAGCCCCATCTTGCCTGTTCGGGTAGCCAATCACAGCGCAGGACTCAGGTCATCTTGCCCGCTCGCGGAACTAACCATATAATAATTAGCTATGATGTTCAATAGGAAAATAAACTAAAACACGAAACACTACAGTTGCACGATGTAGCTCACGGATCAGCTGAAAGAAGTCGACGTTTCTTCCCCTTTTCATTTTTGTGTGTCTGCCATTTGTTGTTCTTAACAGTGTATCTCACAACAGATATTTTTGTGTTCATTAGATGCTGAGCTTGTACTACATCCAAGCCTTGTTTCGTGACCTGCGTGACCTGGGATATCATCAGCTGGCTCTTCCTGTTGTCGCCATGCAGCAGCTCATAGCAGACTTGATATTGGACAACAGTCAACTGAAGAAGCTTGTGCATCTCAGGCACGTACAACTCTCTTACCTAAGCACCCTTCGTTTGTCTTTTCTAACTCCACTACATGCTAATTAGTAATAGTAATTGGACCGAGTGGAGTTCAATTCAGGGAGTAATCGAGGAGTAATTTCTAAACTAGGCGAGCGCGTAGCGCGAGGCCGATTTGAAATTACAAACACGATTGCTCTTAGAATTGTACCACACGGAAACCAATTACTAATTGATTGGATCAATAACAAGAGATTAAAAGATATTAAAAAATGTCTTTTAAGATTTTCTTTCGAGCGAAAAGTCAGTGGTACTTTCCATTAGTTGTAGAAACAGGTAAATTGTAGGGCACATTAAGAAGGAAGCTATTAAAGCGCAAGTAATGGACGCGCGAATGGCTTAGGTATCCAATCACAAAAAGTTGTAATTGGACACCCACGTTATCGCGCACCGATTAAGTGACAAATAGGCGCCCGGAAAACCAATCACGATTTAGAACTTTGTTATAAATTCGATTATTTCCATTATCGCTTTGATGGAATATTCACGTAACAGAAGTGTAGTTTGTTGTTATTGGTGGTCCAGGTCGGTTCTGTAATGTTCCTTTTCCATTATTTCTCCGGTATAGAGCAATGGAGTTATGTCAGGAGCTGAACTTACCCTCTGGGGTGGCCCATCATGAGAAGTGCGCTGGCCACATGTTACTGACAGAGCAAGAGCAAGCCAAGTAAGGAAACTGATATTAACTATATGGTTTGATTATGGTTGTTGTTTTTTTTAGATTAGTTTTCAATTGTAATATTGTAGTTATTGTAACATATCATGTGAAGAAGAATGGGAAAAACACGAGAATGAAAAAAAAAAAAAAAACATTTCTTTTAGCCAGTCGTTGGCTGAGAGAGGGTCTTCGCTTTGATTGATTGGAGTGTTTTCCGCGAGTTGTTTCGATTAAATGAAATTATAATTTACTACAAACTTTTAAAAACATGATTATGGACAAATTCCGTGGAGGACGGTGATTTCGTAATATTTTATAACCGTTTGTCTCCTTTGTATTTGTGTTCATTGCCAATTAGATCACGCGAGGAAATCGAGATGTGGAAAGAGAAACAGCGCCAAGTGAAAACCGAGGAAGAAAAAACTAAGAACAGCAAGAGTGTCGTGTTCGATACCAGGACCTCGAACCTGGTACTTAGGCCCCAGGCGCCTGGTGCTGGGGACATCGTGCAAGAGGAATCCTGGAACGAACACAAATGGGTGATAAGTGATGTGTGTTACCGGGAGTTATGGACTGAGCAGGCTGAAATACTTATCCGGCAGGTACAGTCAGCTGGTGTGCATGTGATCTACTATATTGAAAACTGGCTACTGTTTCTGGAATTGTTACACCCATGTATGTCAACGTGATTTGTGGAGCCTTTTCCTTTCTTAGTCACAGCATCATTTTGAGTTATTTTGGCCACGTACGAAATTGCCTTTAAATTGAAGGAAACCTGAAAAGAGTAGTTTACTAAGATCGAAAAACACCAAAGAGATAATGATAAAGCATAAAGGAGCAAGGATGGATAAGGATGGAGAAGATTGACACGGATTACAAACGACGGACTTGAAAAATTTAGGCTAAACTTTTCAAGATGGCAAACCGTGAGGTAGCTCCTTTGAAATTGACCTCATTGATTTGTGTTTAACATTTCTCTTTCTAGGGTCAGTTTCTACCGGCTCGGCAGCTTCTGAGTGAAGCAAATCTATCAGCAAGGGTGAGTATAATACTTAAATCCTGAGTCTCAGTCGCGTATCTAGGCCGCGTGCAATCTTTACATCTGGAAAAGACTTGTAAGATAAAGTTGACCTCTGGAAAAATCTAACTTGTCTCAGCTGCATATCAAGTTCATAGTTGTTAAGTGAATATGTATCCGCCGGCTCCGTAAAAACGATTAGGAAAAAATTTAGAAAATAGCCCAAGGAAAATACGCGCAGATTGGTTTAAAATCGTGTTTGTATCAGTAACTCGATAGAGACCGAGCTGTTGACGTAATGATGGCGCGAGCAAAGTTGATGATCAAAGTAAAAAGGTTTTCTTTTTTTCGTCGCGGAATTTTCTAAAAAAACAACAGAACACATTCTCCCTGTTTCTGTCAAGTTAGAGAAACACGAGTGGAAGTTTGGGAGAACTCGAAAAAGCTGTGGAAACACTCGCCTGTCTGCTCGTGTTCCCACAGCATATCTCGTTCTCCCAAACTTCCACTCGTGTTTCTATTTAACAATAATTATTAGATTGTGAGCTCGAGATTTCTCAACTATCATTCTTAGAACTCGAGAGCGAATAATCTAATTGTTTTAGTATAAATCTACTAGTGGATCAAAACTTTATCTAAATCCTCTTCTCAGACACCTCGAAAACGCAAAGAAGCGGCCGTCATTTTGTTAACAAGTGCGCACTGCTACGCTACTCACTATCTAATAAATAATTAGATTATGAGCTCGAGATTTCTATCGCGTGAGAGTTGACGAGGGCGCAGCCCGGCCGAGTCAACTATCACGCATAGAAATCGAGAGCGAAGACTTTATCTAAATCCTCTTCTTAGACACTTCGAAAATGCCAAGAGGCGGCCGTCATTTTGTTAACATGGGTACACTTCTACGCTACTCACTGTCTATCATAGAACAGATAGTGAGTAGCGTAGCCAATCAGAGAACGGCATTCGTGAAAGAACGCTAGTAGATTTATACTAAAATTTGATAGAAACAAGGTCATGTTTTTTATTTCTTAAATGTAGAAGTGCGATCTTTTCCTACAACAGTGTAAGAACCCTCCCAGTTGTTGCCTCCTTGTCCTTTTCCAGTTGCTGTTAACATGTTTCTCTTTATTTTCAGGCATTTGATGACAAACGAACTCTTTCCAATATTCTGCTCCAGTTAGCTGTGATGGCTTTGGCAGAGTCAAACTGGGGACAAGCTACGTCATTACTGCTTGAAGCTCAGGTATTGGGATATAATCAGAATATAGCCATAAATTGTCTGGTTGAAATCCAAATACGAGGCCGTTGAAGAATGGTGTAGTTTAAAAATAACAAGTACTTTACCATCTGGCCAACCATTGTGGTTCATGTCTCTGGCGTGACTGGATACTTTTCGCACAAGTAATTTTGTCTGGAAGTCGACTCGCCTACATGTTCAAAGAAACTACTAGGTTCACATGGCTAGGGAGAGGCTACCATTTTAACTACAGTCTTTATGATTAAACAATGATTCGAGAAACGGTTTGGTCAGTGTTAATTTATAGATTTTGGTAACATCTCATCGACTTCGGCGATTTGACTTATGGGCAAAGTAGCGCTGTGGAACGTTTTACGTTCTCCCAGTTCTAATAGTTTTGCGATGAATGAAGACGATTGTTAACTGTGGTCTATACTGGGACTTTGAACGTATAATAGCTTGACGAAACCTGCTGTTTGTAAGAAAGAACAGCGATAGTGTGCTTCAACGATTTATTATGGAGAAATGATCCATCAGATCTAACTGTTTAGTGGCGTATTTTATTAAGTTACTCGTGCTTGACTTGTTCCTAGAATCTTCATGGAGATCAAAGATTCTGGTTAACAACCACCCTGCTGTTATGTGAAGCGTCTTTCGCAAAGATCGACAAGAATTCTACCATGCTGAACACGCCAGACCCCCTCGCCAAAGACAGGGTAAGTTCGTGATTGTTTCAGCTTTACGATGATTAATCCTCCTCCTTTCTGGGGGTTATTTTCTCAGATAAAGTTCACTAAGAGAGATTTTTAGAGGGTGGCGTTCTTTGTATACAGGGAAGCAATATTGTTGCATTATGTGGGTTCCTCGTGATTGAAAAAGGTTAAGAACTCAGTGCATACATCAAAAGGAATCAAACAATTTTCAAACGTATATTCGTTGGTGGTTTTGCTACTTACGCATTTCCCATTTAGGAACAAGGATGTGCCTGAAGAATTTTCTTAATTTTGTAGGCACGCAATATTCTGTTACGTGCAAAAAGGGTTTTCAAGGACCTGGCAGAGGAGAACCCCAATAAAGCTAACATGGCGGATTATATCGAGGCCGTCCTGGAAGCCCGGTAAGGATAAGCAATTCATGGGTTCTGTCATTTGGTATTTCAAAGAAACGGCAAGGATCTCTAAGGATCTCTGATGCCTAGTTCACATTAGCGACATAACGACATAAGAAGGACGTTATTTCGTGCTTAAAGTGTGAATATCCTGGCATAATGACATAGTAGCAACATAACAGCATAGACAAAACGACATAACGAAAAAAAAATAATTTTTTCCTTATGTTCACATTACCAACTTAAGCGATTATGTCGTTATGTCGTGTGAACTAGGCCTGCCTAAATACAGTTCAAACCTGAGCTCGAGTATACTGTAATCCTCGTCATCTTTAACCGCGCTTACAGTTTCCTTTCAGCAAAATTATTGGGTTGACCACTGTCAAGCAAAGAATCTCGAACTCTACTTGGGTTTTTTCAGGTTGGGTACTCTGCTGTCGGGTCATGTGGTCAATGATCCTCATTTGAGAAAGCAGGAGCAAGCTCACAAGGACCTGATTATCGCCTGCAAGGCATGTATTATGAGTAGACAATTTGTATGTCGGTATCTGGAATGACTAATCATTACTATTTTGTAAATCACGACTCGAGCAATAAAAAAGTTATTACAATATTTCCATAAGTGAGATTTTATTCCACTCACAAGTCAGTTTCTAGAAATGTATAAGTGCTTGATGATATGGTGGCAATTCTTGGACGGTCATTTTATTCTTGTTCACAGCACCTGTCCCGTGCGACAGCAAAGCTGAGTGAGTTGGGTCACAGACGAGAGGCAGTCAAGATCTTGTTGAAACTTGCTGCCATCAAGAGAACCTTTGCTGAAGACGGTATCACGCCCGAGGAGAGACAAGACAACCTTCTCGAGGTACCTCGCGTGCGCAGGCATGCAACAGACAAAGACACGCACGCACCCGCCTCTTACCTACCTATATGCAAGCACAGAAGTTTTAATACACCTGCATTGCTTTTGAATGTTAGTGCGAACGTTTCTACGCAGGCAAATGAATGCTTAGGAAGCGCACACCATGAGTGTTTGTCGCGTTTTTCTTATAAACTGATATTTAAACCACATTTTCTTTCTACAGGCGTTTGATATCCTGAAAGAAGCTGCGAGTTTATCTGATGCTGTACTGCATGATGTCCAGTCTGTTTCTACTCTCTCAGAGGTGTGTTGTTTGTTTTTATTGACTCCAAAACTCAAATTATCTCGATTTTTTGGGGAGAGTGTAACTTTCCTAAGGCTACACAAAATAAAAGTACCTTAAGACTAGAAATGTATTTGGTTAGGATAAACTGGAGGCGCAGGCGCAGTCCGTCGAATCGGGCAAGATATAATCTCCTACCCAGATCTCACTCTGTTTACGCTGGGAGAGGTCTGGGTTCTTTTATTTGGCAAGATGGTAAGCAAGACACTTTACTCCGTAGTGCCCCTCTCCAGTCTACCAGCGAATTGTTGAGGAAACTGCCGGGACATGAGCTGCGATGTAGAATGCGATGTAGTTGCATCACATTCAAGGAGAGTAGCAAAACTCATAGCCACTTTATTCTACAAATTAAAGGCCGAAGCTAAGCGCTAAGATTTGCGGGCCTCACGATACGTTTCTTGTTTTAAGTCTTTCTGGATAACATAAATAAAAATTGCACGTTTACTCTTCCACTCTAAGTTGATTTTTTTCTTTTAGCTTCAGTTTCATGTCGTACTTATAGACGAATACTAAGCCCAGCTTGAGGAGATTTCTTATTTTCCTTTAGCTCCGTAACTTGAGTTTGCCTGTTCAACGGGAAGCAGTAGACGCCAAGCTTGTCATTTCTGATCTGATGGTGGACATGTTGAAACAGTTTTCTAACGAAGATCGAGGAAAGCGTGAATTAGAGACTCAGAAGGGAAGCATCCAGAAGGTACTGTCAGTGGCACTCCGAACGAAGGGGTCCGTTACTTTCGAATTAGCAGCTCAGTCTTCATCCTCAATTGTATTACGAGATTTAATTCAGCGTTATATTTCAAGATTTTCTGAAAAGCGCTCACGTCAAGGGAAGATAATGATAGTCGGCATTTCTTTTCCCAGTTGATAGATGATTATGTTGGTGTGGAACCTTCACCAACAGAGAAGCAGAGAAAATGGAGAGAAGTTACAAGGTACAGTCCATAGACTAAAGTGTCTTTTATTGTTCGTTTGTTTGTTTGTTTTTTCTGCTCTTTTCGCTGTTGAGTCTTTCAGACCCATAGCAGGCTTATTTGCAACTGCTTAATCTGCCAATGCAAATGCGCCAATCACATTTTCGCTGACCCACTTCATAATGTACAATTCATAAATGATTTCATTGAGATATACCCCTTGTCGTGTCTGGGTTTCTCCAGTGTTTCGTGCAATTCTCATTCCTTTACGTATTTTTTCGTTTATCTAAAAGAACTCTTGCCGAGGACACAATGATGCAACTGTCCATGGCGCATGGCCTGACGGGTAATGTGGGATACCTCAAAGCCAAGGTGAGACATTTATAGCATAAATTATAAGATACCACAGTTTCAGCCACCAGTGTTTGAATTGCGATGTCAAAGTAATTCCGCATCATTAATGCCCTGTAAATTAAAGATATCTGACGAAAGCTAATACAATGCGAATTAGAGGCGTTTGTAGCTGTGTTGAGAAGCGTGTGGTCTGAGGAACCGAGAAAATTCTAGACTGCGACCATTCTTTCTTTTGCTCGAAAATCTGTGGGGAAGAACGCAGAGAGAAACGCAACACAAGTGAGCGGTCGTAAGTCACGCTTGCCGTCACGCTTGCACATTCATTTGTTTTGCGTCCTTCCCCACGGATTTTCGAGCAAAAGAGAGACTGCTTACAATCTAAGAAAATTCTGTCCACGAGATCTTTTTATCTTGTGAAAAGCAGGTCACCTTATACCAGGGAACGTAACAAAACTACACTGAACCGGTTGTTGTTTTGTCGTGCAGTTTCTGCTTTCCCGTTCTCGAAAAAACTTTCGTCATGGGCTGCATAGGTTGAACTCACTGTATTCTGCTCAGGTTTTAATTGCCTTTTAGAGCGGTGTTTCCTTGAGTGACGAATAGTAATTGGTTTTGCATTACTACGCTATACGATTGGCTAAAAAAATTCTGCCACTTTTTCACCCAGTCAGAAGTCAAACCATAACCAATCGTGACTCACTTGCACACGTTTTCCCGCGTTTTGCATCAGCCACACGTAATTCGAGTTTTGATTGGTTCATTGGATTTTCTGTGTCCGTTGTGATTGGCTAGAATGATTACTTTGGGTTCTGTTTCACGATTCTCAATAGCCCTTTTCACGGTTAATTTTTCTCATTTGCATTACAATGTAATCCAACGTGGATGCAAGGCAATTTCGGGCTAAAACTACAAAATAGCCCGAAATTGCCTCGCATACATGCTAGATTTTATTGTAATGCAAATGAGCAAAGGTAACCGTGAAAAGGGCTGTTGAAAACCTTTTTTATTGCTATGTAGACCCTTTATGTGCTTGGCCGCTGTCTGGGTGTACTTGCCGCGCATACCGCACCTGATTCAGATACTCAGTGGAAGGAAATAGAGGTGAGATGAACTAGATCTCTCTTGTTATAACATTCCTTATAGAGTTTTTTTTTTTTTGGCTAGGGTAGGGTATTCAGGTTATGTCCGGGGGAAGGGATAAATGTTTTCTGTACATATATCATTACGTAATCAATAATTGTGACGGGGGCTTAGTTTCAAAGGAAGAGATGAACCTTGTCGGGCGTTTTCTTGTCATACTTCTTACCTCATTTCAATTTTTTGTTTTCCTATCAACAGGTATCGAACGAAGAACCGGAAGAGAGCAAACGGGCCCCGCCTGCCAACCCGCCCGTTGTAGAACTTGGTGCAGGAAACCAGGGCACTGCTGATGATCCTGAGGCCGAGATTCCCGCTAACCCATCCAGGGAATTCCTTAAATTCGCTAATCAAGCGCTTCAGTTAAATGTAAGCTTTAGTACAATTGTAATGTTTCGCTTTTTTATGAATTAAGTGTTCTATTTTTCCGCCGACAAAGCGCAGCAGTTTACATGGAAACTAATCGTGCTCACACTAAAAGCGTTTAAGCTAGCTAATTTAAGCCACGTACTTGAGTAACTCACCTTGGTATGATAGGCCTTTTTCTCGACTGAGTTAACATGTCCATTGTTTTCCAGGCTGAATTTTCAACTTCGAAGAGATATCTAAGCCAGGCAGTGGAATGTTTGACACAGTGCGTCCAGATAGGACTGAAACAGGGTTTCAAGGTCAGTATGTTCTGTTGTATGACCTCATTTAATCTAAAAGCTCTGTCCTTTCCTCCGAACAGTAATCACAAACACGACGTTTTGTTTGAAATTCGCACCTTTTTATTTCACTTGAGAGCGAAGCCTCTTTTACCCTTAATTCCTTAAGTTGTGTCATTCTTCGTTAGTTTACCTGTTAAATTCAGTAAACTCAAGCTTGATCACCTGTCGCCTTTCCATGTCATTACATCAACAACAATAATAACAACAATAAACTACAATAATCTTTATTGTCTCGGAAAAGCATTTTACTTTAGAAGTTGATTAATAAGAAAGAAAGAGAGTAATTATTATAACAAAAGAGCCTAGAGGCTAAAAGAACCGTAAGGTTTTCGAATTAGCCCATATTAGCTATTTAAAGTTATTTTTATATCAAAAAGAGAGCACAAGGAAATAAAACCGCCCTCAGAAAATAATGCTTAATAGTGTTGTAATAAATGATAGCATTACTACATTGCGAAGAAACTGGGTGACGAGAATAAAGAATACCATAAGCTAGGAGTATACGGTCTTGACATACCAGGGCTGTCATTAAGGTCCGTAACCCGTAACACTTGTTACGGCCGAGTATGCTTGATTTTCCCTTGATGCTGCGGGTCAAATTGCCTGTTGTTGACAGAATTCAACCACAAAGTAACAAGTTTGCTATGGGTGTGGTGAGCAAGGCTACAGGTGACTCAAAACTTAATGACAGCCCTGCATACCATCAAATTCTCAGAGCTAAATGAAAAATATATCGCAGTCGGTTAAGGGGATTATATTTTCTAGCTGTCATAACTACTTCCACTAAAAAGTGTTCTTTGTGTTTGTTCAGGATGTCGTTTGTGACGCGGCTCGCGAACTGGTGGAATCTATAGGTGCACACGATCCACTCACTTCTTCGCAGTATCTGGCGCTCTATCAGGTATCTAAACTTGTATATAGGGTGCGGTTTTGGGATCATGGGTTGCGTGCGGTTTTGGGATCATGGAGGCCGGATACTTCAGCCGCAGTGAAAAATTCCTTTACTCGATATCACGTGTTCTTGAGAGCCGTTTCGTGTTACGTGGATAAATTAAAAGAAAAATGAATTGCCGTATTCTCGTCAGGATTCACCAGGTCGTTTTTACATGTAAACAGCCAGGTCAGTGACAGAGCGGTCTTCCTGCGACCAAATTTACATATCCCATTCAAACTGAGGGACTGAGAAGCTGTATCAACTCGACAGGATTCTTTCACCTTTTCTTCGGGTTTCTTTGCAACTGTTTCGGTTGCTACGTTATCTTCGAACATTTATTTTTAATTCCTTGATCTTCAAATGACTAGTGCTTGTCCCTTCTGGGCTTGTCGTATATTAATTAACTAATCCTTTTACCTTTTCTCTCCTCTAGAGTTGTCATCTATCTCAAGTGCTGGAAGGCGTGTTACGGCGAGTCCATCAAGATCCTTCTGTTTCTCGCCAAGCTGCCTTGTTGCACCAGAGAAAACTTCTCACTGAGATGGAGTTCTTGAGTGATAATTCTTCCAGCATTTTGGCATCAAATTCCAGTCATCTTGCCGATTGCGAGGTAAAATCCAGTTTCTAGACATGGATGAAACTGGTGCACAAGTCCAGTTCTGGCCCTCTCGCGAGTGCCTAGCGTTGGGTGATAGAGAGAGGGCCAGAACTGAACTACTGGTACACAAGCTCTTTTACGCTAGTACGTCTTAAATGTCTTACCCTGTTTTTGGTGTTGTCTAACTTTTGTAGGCTTGGAGACGTTTAACGATAGCAAGGAATCATTTGGAACTGACAAGAGAGTTTTCAGCGACGAATACTCAGTTTGTTGTGCTTCAGCATTCTCCTGATAGGTAAGATGTAAAGTTTGTCCTTGGTGAATAATTTCCTCGAGGTTCTAACAGGCATGGGTACGTTAACAGTGCCATAGTTCAGAGAAAAATATGGGAAAATATAATTGACCTACTTTCACACGTACTATTCTCATGACATTTTCTCAGTTGCGGAGTACTAAATTAATCCACTATTGCCTTGCTTCCAGTGGCTTCCTACAATCCAGGACAAAAGAGTTGGGACACGAAGCAAGTTCTCCCCTTCCCCCACTTTCAATGTTGATAATCAGGTGATTTTTTCCCTTTTTGTTGGAGGAAACGCGATATTTTCTAACACTGATTAGGGGGGAAGGGTCATACGTGATACAGCTCAAGTGTCCCAACTATTTTTGGCCGGGATTGTCTGAAAGAGATATGCGAGGAATTTTCCAGTGAAGGTAACGCCAGCGATTGTCATGGCGTCACGATATTTTAGAATTCGATTTCAGCTCAATGACGTACCCTTTGTTTCTGGAAATTGGACAGAACTTTTCTACTTTAATCTAGATTAAGGCTCGGTGCAGATATTCGTGGAATATAACTTGTAACCGCCTGTAGCAAAACGAAATTTGCGACTTGCTTCAAGCAAAATGGCATTTAAGGGAAGGTTAGAACTCGTGTCCATTATTTAAGACATTTTCCAGGATTATCAATTCGCAAAGTAGCAGATCTTTGTGTTGTTTAACGRAATAGTGTTAAACAAATTGACGTAAACCCAATGAAATGCTCATCCGTGTACAGTGATCAGATATATAACCATTACACGCGACGCGACAACTTCCCGGTTCCATGTGTTTTATTAACGCTCGCGAATAACCACAACGGTTAACCATTTGAAAGTCAGCGTTTTGCAACCTAACCTTCCCTGTCCTTCCCAATTGGCAGAAGGTTCAAAAATTTCTCACTTCACATTATTTGAAATGCAGGATGGAAGCAATTTGGTGGTAAAATAGTCGAGTTTAACGCTTGAAATATCGTTAACCGTTTGCCGGAGACAAAAAGTTAACTACGTAACTACCTTTCTATTTCAATTGAACGGTTAACCATATAAACCTTCTCGCAAAGCTCTCTATTGCTAGTTCATAATCCCAGACAATGTTGAATGGTTTTTCGTAATTCCTGTAAAGCGAAAAAAGGTATAATTCGAATGACACGTAGCAGTTTGGAACCAAAATGTTTTACCAGAATGGTTAATCGTAAGGGTTAATCGCGGCGGTTAACCCGATGACACTTCTGAAGCCGAGAACACACCTCGCTTTATACGCATTCCAGTATTAGAGGGGAAAACAAAGAAAGACATGCATAATTTAACCGCGTTTAGGTAGCAGCAACGCTTTATTGCTGTCCACAGATAAACTCCGCGAAACTGGCGAGGACAAGGCGAAAATATCCACTTGCTCGGTACCTACTGTTTCAACCGAATTTGCATCATTTCTGTTTCGCGCGAATCAACCAGCCCTCTAAAGACGTAGACAAGGTCATATTTTTCAGTCCAGGAAATAGAAACATCCTTTTTAAACACAACATCTTGTGCAAAGTTGGATTGTACGGGCACGCAAGTGGGCCGTTTGCCCCTCGAGAGGCAACAGAAGGTCATGCCACGGACTCACCAATCGTCTACCGTAGAAGGTCATTTAGAAAGATGACTTTACGTTTCTTAGTGCCTACCCAGGTAAAACTTGCCATTGTACGCTCTTTTCTTTCTAGTAGCGCTCGTTAGCTGTACCCGCGAGACGGTACAACTCCCCTATTCTCCAGCCTTTGTTAGAGCGAGTGTTGTAACATTCTTTAAATTCTTCTTTCAGACAATCCCGGACAAAAGAGTTGGGACACGGAGCAAGTTCTCCCCTCCCCCCACTTTCAATGTTGATAATCAGGTGATTTTTTCCCTTTTTGTTGGAGGAAACGCGATATTTTCTAACATTGATTAGGGGGGAAGGGGGATACGTGATACAGCTCAAGTGTCCCAACTACTTTTGGCCAGGTTTGTAGGTCAACAGCAACAACAAGCTTTATTTCCCCTTGGACTAACAGAAACATTTTACAAGGTTGTATATTAATACAGTTAGGGGCCTGGCTACCTGAAATAACTAGAGAGTTAAAAAGGGCAGGGAGGCAGGCAGCCAGCCAGCCAGGCCTACAGATGTATTAATGCAAATTTAGGTCGGTACACACACATACACACGCATGCAACACAGAACACATAGTTAAATTAAAACAGAGGTCAGTTAAATTATTACCAGTATGGCATTACTATTGCAAGGATTAGGGTGGATTCGTATGTTTCTTGGCAAATTCTCTCCTGAATCTAAGTGCAACGAAAACCAGCATCCAGCTAAGCTACACTTGACTATTGCGAAAGTTTACTTTATTTGGTAGTCTGCCAAAAGGCTGATTTAAATTCGTTGATTTTACAGACGATTTCTTTACGGGGCTGTGCTGGACAAGGGTCGTTCTCCTATACCAAGCGGAAAGGCAAACAAACAGTCGTCAACTGTACCAGGTACGTTCCCCTTGTTTCATTGGCTGCATGTTCGTGGACCCCCGTATACCTACATCCCCACATGGCCATCTTATAGGAGTATTCTCACTGCAGTTTGAGTTACTTTGGCCACGAACAAAATCACCTTTAAATTGAATGAAACTCGAAAATAGTAATTTACTAAGATACCAAAACTCCAAAGAGATAATAATAAACCATAAAGGAACAAGGATGGTTAAGGATGGAAAAGATTGACACGCATTGCAAACGACAACGTTGAAAAATTTAGGCTAAACTTTCCAAGATGCGCAAACCTTGAAGTAGCTCCCTTAATCTCAATTTACCCAAAACTCGACAGCAGCGCTAGCTGAAACTAATTCAATCTCATTTTGCTACAAATGTGTTAATGAATACTTTCTCCATATATGCGTCTGTCCATCTTTCTTTCTTACACTGGCAGTTCTTATTTGTTTTCTCAGTTCCTTCAAAGCCCATAATAACCCGTGCAGCTGTGAATGCAGAGGAACTGGAACAGCTCATTGAAGAGTTTTGTCTGTTCAAATCTGACACTGCATCTGAGCTCATGAGACGAAACTATGTGCGACACCAACAGGAGCAAAGGCGGAAGATGTTGGCTAAACTAGAGGACAATAGTCTACAGGCTGATAGTCAGGTTAGATCTTTATAACAATCATCGATATTACTCAATGAGGCTTGTTTATTTACAGTGACATAGACATAGACAGGTTATTTAACTTGGTCGCACACTTAGCTCTGGTAACGGTGCGTCCAATGGACTTGATAAGCAGAATCTTCAGGGCGTACCAGCTAGTTTGCAGGTGCGCCAAGAAAACAAAATAACAAAGTAAAAATGTACATTTGGGAATGAATATTAAACTATACTAAGGTTAAGATTATATAACTGCCATAAAATATCTAAAAAATGTATAAGAATATAAAAAATGCATATTAATTGTGGAGATAAAACTATGCATAAGTAAGATATGAAAAGGAAAGAAAATGTTAATTAGCACTCATGGATTTACGCTAAACACATAGACAATTAAATAAAGTTCCTTATTAGTTATTTGGTATGGTTTCAAATTTTGCCAGCCTGCCTTTTCTTGTGTATTTGTACAAAAAATTATGTCCGAAATTAACTGATATCGTTTTATTGTTGCTATTGAAGGAGCTGTTGACTGTTGACTCCAGTCTTGCTGAAAAAGAATCCCAACTCGAGGTAGCCCTGAACTTTACACTTCTTAAATATGAAAATCTGTGTTCAGCTATGCCCAAAGTTCAGAGTAGATTTAGATTTTTAAACTACAGTGGAACCCCGCCCTTCAGACACCCACTTATAACGGACAGTTTTCTTTGTCCCGACATCTAAAAAGCTCATATATTTTCTCTTAAATTAGCCCGCTTAATGCGGACACCCGGATAATGCGGACACTTCTGCATGTCCCTTTGGTGTCCGTATTAAAGGGACTCCACTATATGCGGAAAGTTTGTTTGTGTTATACAAGTCAGTTGATCCTGTCTTCTTGGATTGAGTGAGCCCCTCGTGATATCGGTAATGATGTTTTCAGGTAACACAACATAACGTTTGCTGATGACGACAAGTTCACCTCCAGAATGCTGGTACTATTTCTGATTGGACAATAAAAATCAAAAACGCTTTGGGTACTTTTGAAAGAATTTGTAAAGGTAATTGTTTCTTTGCCTGTCTTAACCTCGCCTGAAAGCCCTTTATTTCTCCCTTTAGTCCCACTTTAGGGATGTTGTAGCAGCGGTTGAAGCTTACTTGGATCCTATCTTGACTAAACTACACCCAGCCTTGAAGTAAGTAAAGCTCTTTACAAATTGGTCGTCAGTTTCTTTTATAACAACTTTTTATTTCATTTTTTATGTTTTATTTTCTGTGCTTTAATAGCACCGGCTAAGTGTTTCTGATTTGCTTTGAGTTGCGATTTGTTCATTATGTTCTTTGCGTTTGTCGCTGACCAAAGTGTTTACAGCAGCTTTTTGCAACTGACTCAAGGAAACTGTCCTATTGTCAAGTCAAAATGTAGTAATACGGTGCTAAACCAAAGCCTAAATCTGCTGAAAGCTGTATTAAGTTAGAAAATTGATTTGATAATAAAGGCGTGTTTCAACAGTTTGTGTTGTACTACGAACTGTAACGAACATGTCTGCTACTCTCAGTCCAGAGGCAGTGTCAGAATCCGTAGTTCTGTTGGGTGACGAATGGCTTCTTCAGTTACCGCTGGAGGCGCTCAAGACCTTTGCTGTTCCTCAGATCACGAGCATATCACGTGACTTCTCATTACAGTTCCACTATCACCGCGTTCACCCGGTCGAGCGTTCAGGTAAGAGATATATACACGAGTATATACAAGTCTCGAGCCCTTTTTGTGATCAAGGGGATGTAATTTTTAGAAATGCTATATTGCAAGATTCTTGTACTCATTTATCTAACAATTTACATTTAAAGGAGACTCCTGCTTGTCTTGTGATTTTCTTTTTATCTGATTTATGTGTGCCTTGTTTTGTTTCCCTTTGCTTTGTTGTCCTCTGCCTGTTTTTTTTGTTTTGTTTTTATATGATGTTTGCTTTGTTTTGCTTTCCACTGTTTTGTTTGTTTCAGTTTTTCTTGTTTGGTATTGCTCAGGTTTGGTCTCTTTTGCCAAACCATGAAGCACCTGCCAAGTGTTCAATGATGAGTGGAAACACTTCTTCAACCCCCCTTAATATTATCAACTTTCAGGGTATTTAGTTTATAGCACCTTGTAGTGAAAGCCATCATCGGGTAAGGGGGAAGACTGGTTTATGGATTTTATGCTGTTAATCTTGTTAGGGCATAAACAAGAGCGTTAATTCACTGTTGAACGAAGCAATCTCATCATCGAATGTTCACTTATGATTCGCTTACTAATGGACTCTTTATCTTTAAAGAAAGTACAATTAAGGTTGCTGGAAAAGCAGGAAAGAAACAAGACAAAGCCAAATCAGATAAACCATCCACAGCAAAATCAGGACAAAAGAGTGAAAAAAAGGTGAGAATTAAGTACAAAGTAAAAAGAGCAACAACCGACACTGGGCATGTTAGTTTACTGGTTTGTTTTACTATTTAGCTCTTTTTGTGTGTTTACTTGATGGGTAATTTATTTGTTTGTTTGTGGGCATAGACTATTTGTTTATTTATTAGTTTTTTTGATGCATCACTTCAGGGTGGTAAAGAAATAGGAAGTGGAGTTCCCAAAGAAGGTCCTGTAGTGGACTTCAACGGAATAAGATGTATCCTTTGTTACGAACTGGTCGTCAGTTATTTTTACGTTAAGAATGTGACACGAGTAGCAGTATCACATATCAGCTTCTCCAAGATGAGCAATACCACCTCGACAAACCGACGAGACGTGTCAGAACCAATGCATACATGGAGCGGTTAATAAAAGATGAACATTAAGGCAACCTGATCCTTACGGCAATGGAATTGACTAAACAAGCTTTATCAAATAAAGCAGTAGGATATACATAAACTTGTTCGAAATTGTAGTTTTGCAAAATAGACCCTCTAGGGGGCGAGGTGTGTCCACTTTTTGTTGTTACGTTCTCTAATAATTGTTTGTTATGCTTAGGTGACCAAGCAATTTTCAAATTGGACTGCACGTGAAGTAGTGTCATGCGGAATACGTAACAAGACCACGTGCTCGTCAAACAGTTCCTTTGCTTCTGACTGGTTGAAAAAAGACACGGTTTCCGTGATTGTTTACCAGAGCACTGCGCGATTTTTCATTTTTTGTTAACTAAAGGCGACCGCACACTAGCCGTTTTTTTGTCGGCCGATAGAAAGCCTTCACTTGTCGGCTAGTGTGCGGTGAATTCAGAAAAGTCTGCGACAAGATCGGGTCTTGTCGGGCGATATCTGACAGTCCTAGATCTCAAAACGTCTTGTCGGTCCTTTTCGGCTAGTGTGCGGTGGACCAAGACAATTTGTCGGGGCTCGCGCGCGCCTCAACCAATTAGGAAATGTCATGAGAGTCACACCAGTGGAATAGGCGCCATCTTGATTTTGGATGACTCGGCCCTAAGCCTCAACGCGATTAGTCGCGACAAAAAATCGGCTGGTGTGCGGCAAGTTGATGGCCCGACAAAGTTTAACTTGATTTGACCCCGACAAAAAATCTGCAGTTCTACGACAAAAAATCGGCTAGTGTGCGGCAGCCTTAATTAGCGAGTTTAGACATACGCTACACAAAAGAAAAGCAACAAAATTACTATTAACATTCAAAAACCACTTACTGTGACAATGACTTGCATGAAGGTTTAACGTTTGCAGTTAAAAGTTTGTCATAGCAATGTAACTAAGGAAGCCTGTGTGTCGTGTAACAGCACAATGAAAAACAAAAAAAACACTTGACCGTCGTTTAGACATTGTCGACCCTTATGCTGAATGTAGCGAGGAAGGTGAGTCAACTGATGATCTTAGTTTTACTACAATTCATTTATGTTTCCTTAAATCCACTATCTGTTGATCTAATTTTAAATGAAGTTCCTGTCCTTTGTCTTATTTCAGGTGATGACAACCCTTATATGGTAATGAATGACGTCATCGCTAAGTACAAGAACTTTACGGCCAAGTGGAATGGAATTATGGGAAACGATCACCTTCCGAGGTTAGTTTAAAACCATTCAGTCATTCGTTTTGCCAGCTCTATTGTCAATTCTAGGATGCTAACGCCTTTTCCTGTTTTTTTTTTTTTTTTTTAAAAGTGTCGGTGAATTTCAACATCTCATATCTGAAAGCAGTGGTTTTATCTTTTATGGCACTGAGAGATACCTGGGGTGCCTGCCACCTAATATGCTAGCATCTATGAATGTCACAGGTACACCATATGCTTGTCTAGATTGCATGCATCATTTTACTTTGAAGCTTTTAAAAGACAATTTTCTTTAAATTTGACTTGCATGAACTGGTTTTACAATCGTTGTTTTAACCAGTCAGGACAAAGATGATTTGTTCTTATCCAATGAACGGTCAGAACCGAGCTCGCGTGATATGATGCACACGACTATTCCCACGCTAGCCACCGGTAAAAGCCTGCTCTCAATTCTTCGTTGAAGTGTTCGGGCTTTTTTTTTTATTATTATTATTATTTTTTTTTAATTTCAGTTAAGAGCCATTATTAAGAGCTAGTGCGTTGGACTCTGGATTGAGAAGCCCGGGTTTTGTGTTGTGTTGTGTTGCATTGCGTTGCGTTGCGTTGTGTTGTGTTGTGTCCTTGGGCAAGACTCTTAACCTTCACAGTGCATCTCTCCACTAAGAGTTTAAATGGGTACCGGCAAATTGTAAGAGGGACCTGACAGAATGTTAGGGCGTGACTAACAACGGAGTAGCCTCCCATCCAGTAGGAATACTTTTGCTGGTAGCTTCACGCTAAATGATATTGTCGTTTAGCTTGGTGACCCGTTTGCTTTATTGATGTTTCAGACTGCCATTTAGTTCTGTTGTTGGACTTGGTTCAGACAAGCCAGAGTTTCCTCCGTCAGGGAAAAGACGATGCCACAAAAGCGTAAGAGCTCAAACTTCTATTTTTGACTGAAATTGCTATGCTGTTTCAGTATGAATGTTCTCAGCGAAATACTGTAATCACAGTCAAATACACTCCTAGTGAAATTGCTAACAAAAATTTGAAAGCTGACGTTTAAAAGCAAGTAATAGCAACTTCTCTTTACTTTGGCCGAGGAAGAAATGTAACGAACACCAAGATTGTCACTAAAATTAGTCACTCTAACACACGACTCTTTGGTATTAAATAAACAATGAAGAAGTGGTAAATAATTGAACATATTTAAACAAGGTAACCACAGAGTTACCATTCGTACATTTTCTAACAGTGTTGGTGAGTTATGGCTTGAGCGTCCTCTGGAGACCGCCATGCTGTTATCGTTAGTAGGTGTAGCAGGGGTGGTGTCTAATCAGTGGCACTGTCAGTTGTCTGAGAACAAACACAAGCTCAACACCTGCCTCACTGGTGAGTACTGAACTCCTTTTTAACTAACTGACTCCGATTTCTCGTCTTATCGACAACAGCAAAAAGAACTTTTGTACTTTTGATGAAAAATCTTTTAAAAATCCTTTTCTTGCCTTAGGTCCTTAGCTCTTCACAGGGTGTAAAAAATAAAATTTCTCAATTAAATGAACTTTGTTTAACGTGGGCAGTTAATAACAGTCGCCAGAATGACAAACCTTTGGTCCCCAAAGCCTCGTTCGTTTTTTTTTTTACTTTTAGCTGACTTGTCTTTGCTTCATACCTGCCATATTCTGATCTAATTGAAATATTGAAATGTTGGTTTGCGGAGAGGGGAAAACCGGAGAACCTGGGAGGGGTAAGAGTAAGGGCAAGAACCAACAACAAACTCAACGTACACGCGACAACGCCCATCCAGAACTCAAACCCAGTTCAGAAGAGGTCAGGACGTGTTGTTGACTTTTAGCTGACTTGTCTTTGCTTCATACCTGCCATATACGAAAGGAAGAAAGGAATTTGATTTTATCACAGTAGAAAAGAGGGAATGATTGGTTGCCTTTTTTTCATGAATCTTCGTAGACGCACCCGAACAGTCTCCGATTCGTACTGTGCAACAAGAAAATGCACGAAAATTGTTCGCCAACTTGTCCCTGTCGTCTCAGTGATTTTTTTTTTCGATGCAATTCATTTTGCTCTCCGGACTATGCAAGTCAAAACGTTTGCTGGAAACACTTGCAGGTATGGAAATAGTTTCGTTTTTATCCTAATTTAACCTCTAACACTGTCGATGACCTTACTTTCAGGCCTGCTGGAAACGAGCAAAACAGTAGGACAAGCCATCAGAGGTCTGGTACAGTTTCCTAAAGCACCTGATGATGAACCGGAAACTGACGCCGCTTCAGAACGAGGCTCAAAATCTGGACATCAAATCGAGGTAGAAGTGACTGGTGACGAGCAAACAGTCCCGGACCAGGAGGAAACTGGTGTAAAGGAAGAAGCGACCGAGCCTGCTTCATTCTCGAGACACTGGTTTAACACAGTGCTGTATGGTACACCAACGCTACTGTTGAATCCGCCGAAAGGCTCTAGCTAATAGTCCAGGATGGACATGTGACACTATATTAACATGGCAAACGGCTTCACGATGAAAGTGATCGTTGTCAGGTTCTTTGCGCGGTCGGAATTGTGTAACACAAACACCTTATCAGTGGACCGCACACCAATTAAATTCACAAAAGTACTTTTTAAAACGACATTGTACAAAAAATGCACTTGATGTTAAGAAGAAGCCTTTTCCTTTCTTGGACAAAAGTTTCCCAAACTGACCTCAAAAATGCAAGTATGTTGTTAACTCTTACTTGGGCGTTTGCCGAAAATGGAATATTTATCCATTGACAAAGGTTTTTATACAGTATAAACTTCATTTAACTATCTTGTTCCGTCCATATTGAGTAGCATTGACGTCATTTTGTTTTTGTGAGTCTTTCGACCAATCGCGAGCCACACGCTAGTCCAGAAGCATTTTTGCATTTATGCAACTTTGTTAACTAAGTGCTTTTACGTGTAACAAGCGGGTGGCGCTACTGAAAGATACGAACTTCCATCTGGACATGTCTTCCGTGCAAATGATTACGTCAAGTTTTTCAAGTTCCATGCTGAGAGAATTTTCAGCGGACCCAGCGGCAGCCTGTACATCCAAAACGTCCTCGTAACCCAAAGTTCTAGATTATCACAGTGTAACCACGTTTAAGCAAAATATTAACGAATGATAACCGTTTTATCGTTCCGTTTTGTGGTTGAGTTAAACTTCATTTATGCGTTACTAAGATGACGATGTAAGGTTTGTGAACCTTTATTTAGTGGTTAAAAGGTCATACAATCTTTTTCACCGTGGAAAGTTTTATCCACCAGGCAGTACTATGTAAGCTTTGAACAATCAATTTTCTAGATTAGAGAAACTTTATTGCCCACCAGAAAGGTGTACTTAGCAGATGTGAGAAAAGACTCTCACAGATTCAGGTAAACAATCTCCATCCTTGTTTTGTCAAAATCTTAGAAACGCTGACCTGGTCATGGTTCTTTCCAAAGATGTTTACAGCTTCAACTTTCGACAGAAACACTGACAAATTGAACAGCCCGGATCACACTCGTAACCCGCGGGACAGCAGTGCTTCCCGTCCCCACACGGGATGGCTTGCGGTATGAGACAACATCCCAGTCCCGTAGGAGAGAACCTGGCGTTACAGCACGTGCTGTTATATGGGCACACTGTCACCACATTGCCAGACGTGTTCTTGCAGGGAACTAGATTTTTGCTTGCTATCTACTGGACAAAATATAAAAATAACCAATTATGATAACTTGAAGGGATGGAAAGTTTCGTGCTCCAAATATTAGTTTGATCCTTTCGTTTAAAGAAACCTAGGCCCGAACGGCAGAAAATGGTATTGTATACCGCTCTCAGGGAAATTGATGTTGGCAGTGGCTAGTTTCACTTCAAAGAGCTCAATACTAGAAACGAGAAGGCTATAGCATAACTAAATAATTCCATACCAGTGAATCTTGTCTCGCCCAAGAGCGAAGATCCTCGTCAATTCCTTGAGCAAGATGCAAAATCAAATCCTTTACCCTCGCACTTAAGTACTTATTTCCTGATGAAGTGTAGTGCGGGCTCGGCTGCTTGTCAGCGATACTGCAGTTCAAATAAGGCGGAACTCCGCAGACCTTGATCACCCAGGTGTACAAGTCAGCGGTAGCTACAGTTGGATATTCCTCCATCACGCCACGTGCTATGTTGTTGTACTGTATGACGCGATCATTCAGCGTAGCATTCCAAGGCACCGGCGTTGTGAGAACGTACCCAACTTTAGCCCCAGTTGATAACAGTATTGATGTTATAGTTTTTAGATTTTTAGCATAATCAACTGGTGTGGTGTATTCCTCTGACCACTTGCCGCTACATTCCACGTCGTGGAAACCAAAATTGAAAATAATAACATCATATCTTGTTGGTTCTAACATGGTGGTCTGCAGAAACAAGCGTAGGCATCGCAGACCGTATTTAGAGTCCAGGACTCCACCGTCCTCGTGATCCCAAGGAGCATGCTGGACTTGATAGCCACCACCTAACGTTTTGGCGACCCACGGAGTGTAACTAGAATACAACAGCATTTATTACCATTCACGAAACTTGATTTAATTATGTAGTCAGGGAACAACGCGGCGCTAAGAGAGTACTCTGAGATCTTCGCACGATTCTGTACTTCTGTGGAGTGGGTTCAGAGCCACCTCAACGAGTTGTTTTAAACTTTGCAAAAAGTTGCATCTTATCGTGCTTGTCACTAGTCGATAAAAAATGGGCGTCACCGAGCTCGTTTTTGAGTTAAAAGAGCTTAAAGCTAAAGCTAAGGGCGTTTTTAGCAGGTCATATTGTTGCTATGGTAACCGTTTATATAAAAAGCATGACCGCAACTTGTTAACCAATCATTGGACATTTCTGATGCCATTAGTGTAGCATCACTTGTTAAACAATGGTATTATTCATCCTTCAAAGTGTAGCTGTTAGAGAAATGCTGGAAACTTTTGCCAGCCTCCTTAATTGTTCAAGTTTCACATAGAATGGTAAAAGACTTGAGCAAACAAAATGAAGAAAGGAAAAAAATATTGGAACAGTTTTCGAAAGAGTTAAAAGTTGGGTTGGTATAGTCCATCAAAACTGCAATAAGCCTTAGTAAGCCGCCTTAAAATCTCGCTAAGATATGGGCTATGTTTCCACCTACTCGGCTTTTCGGGCAAAATAAAGAAATTTTCGAGATGAAAAAAAAGGCACTTTCAATTCAAAGCGTACTCATGTCTTAGAGCAGGTAATAAGCTTAGTAAAGCTTACCCAATACTCACGGAATCACCAATAATAAGAGATACGAGATATTTTAAGGTCTTTTATCCCCAGGACTAACAGTAACATCACGCAACGGAGATCTTGTTCATGTGGGCGACCGGAATAAGTCAATAATGGCACATCCCCATTCATTGTGTAATTAACGGTTCCACGGAATAAGAATCTCAGTAAAACCTACCCAATACTAATGGAATCACCAATAACAAGACAGTTCGTCTTTCCAGTCGTTGCTTTCAATGGCGGCCCAGGTTTGCAGATTCGTTCAGCTGGCATGTCAGCATTGCTCATCACTGGACTGACAGGAACCATGACAATCACACTCACGATGAAGGCGGACGAGAAAAATCCGATAACCCTTATGCTAAAATGGTACCCAGCAGAAAAATTCAAGAGCGGGGGAAACTGCAAAACTCGTTCCTCTTTCTGCATTTCAGGTTGTTAACACATTTTCGATAATTTCTATTGGAAAAGGGATCCATTTGACCTGTCTTGAATATTTTATAGCTGTAAAGAAAACTTCAAAGCAGTCCAACAGATATCGAAACAAAGAGGTAGTAAGCTGCGCTGCAAGGTGGTTGTTTGTTTTTCTGTCAGATTTATTTGCGTAATAACTGCTTAGCATTCCGTCTTGATTCGCTTCTTTACGCTTCCCTTAATTAACCAGAAGGCTAGGGATAATCGACCAGTAGAAAACAAACCTTTGAAGAACGTCAAGTTGAAAAAATTTAGATCACACCTCAGTTTGTCGTGCAATTCTGTCTATTTAATTATTCACATCCTTTGTTTTCTACACTAAAGAAAATTACGGCAAAGGGTGAGAAAAAAATAACTTAAACTAAATTGACGAGCAAGGGACTAGGGAATTAGGGTTGATGATTTCATTGTCAAGCGAGTTACAAAAATTAGGTTCTTGGAAAAAGACGGAAGATTTCTTAACGTTATCTTGGCAATAGGGTAGACTGAAGACCTTTTGGAAGAAATTTTTGTAAAACGTAAATGGAAAAGATGTGTGTTTTCAGTCGCTAATTTTCAGTTGGTAAATACAGCCATATTTGTTTTCCTAAATATCTATATTAAAACAAATAAACAAAACAAATTTGTCAAATTCGCAAACCGAACTTCAGGTAATGACAATGGATAATATTTTTCTACTGGTGAGGAAATCATGCGTTAAGGCACCTACCAAGGTCATATACTATGGTAATTGAACTGAGTGGAGTGCAATTTGGTCTGAAATCATACGCGTGATTTCAAAATTGAACGAGCGCGTATTTAGTATGCAAAACTATGTCATGTGACAAAAACTCATACGAGGATAACAAAGAAACAAGCAGTTCTGAAGTCAGAACGAAAACAGTGTACTTCATGCATCAAAGTTCAATTATCGTCCCCTGAATCAATGATGGAAGACCTTCCTTTTCTTCTGTGAATGAGGCTGAGACTTCT